AGTCCTCGTCGTCAAGAGGAGAAGATGCTACCACGTTGGTGACAATTTGAGTTTGGCAACGAGGTAAAGTTACAAAAGGAGGCGACGAAAAGTGTTTCGGACGTTCTCCTGAATCCCACATAGAATCAATGAAACGCAAAATTCCGTCGTCATTGTAAGTAGCTAACCAGCCAAGGTATGCTAGCCAATCTATTTTATGTCTACCCACAGGCACCTTCTTTTCCAAAGAAGTGTGGCGAGATTTAGGAACATTACTAACCTTCAGTCCACAACCGTCGATGGAACATGGAAGGGTTCGCAGTGAGGAAGATGGGAAGCCACTAGAGAGAAAAAGAGATGACCTCATCGACGCAGGTTTGCCTAGGCACAACATCGAAGGCTTGTTTAGGAGCAGAGACATAATGATTAATAATGATCGATCTTATCGAAAAGCAAGAGATTTAGGGTTAAAAAAAAACCCTAATTGAAGAACCGTTGTGATGATCACCTTTTAGACGCTACATTATTAATAATACAGAGGAAATAGACTTGCTCACCAAGTTTCCAGTCTCCAAATTAGGTTAGGTTAGGTCAGACATATTATTCTCTCTCTCTCTCTCGGAGACGTATCGTCCCCAAACCGATTTGTTTTATGTAAAAGTCAAAGGAATCTTTAACGTAAGCTCCCCATGGGTTAACCGATATATTTCTAAACCAATATTGATCAGTTTACCAAAGATGGCAAAAAAGAAAAAAGATCAGTTTACCAAATCAATCAATCGTATATTTGTTATTAACTTCTGCAGATTCTTAGCTTCTGTTTTAGGAAATTTAAACTCTTCTAAATTCTAAATGTACGTGTAAATGACAGCAGAAACTAGGGGTGGCCGGGTGGGTACATGTACATCTAGAGTTTTTTTGGTTTCAAAGGCACGACACCATAACTAGTTTAGGGATTGAATACGATTGAATAAGAAGAAAAAAAATATTGCTCAGGATTTTTTTATTTGTTTCAATTTAACTGCAAATACAATTTACACTCTTTCTCTAAGATGAGGAACAAATACGGATTCAAATTATTGAATCTTATGACCAAAATTAAAAAACCGTAAGATCGTTTTTTCCCCTATGTAACTGGAATACTCTCCCTCCGCATAAGATCTCGTCAGCAAGATCAGTTTCATTAGAAATACTTCTTTCACGTTGGATTCCAATTATGCTTGTACGCTTGTTAGTGAGATTCAAGGCACTTACCTATTCTTCAATGGGAGTAAAAATCTTGTCTCTGTTTCTTGCTGGAACAAGAAAAAATAAAATAGTTTATGGAGCCAACATGAGGAAGATTTAATGTGGAAATTTTTGATTGCAAAGGAGATTTTGGTTTATAGATGTTGGAAAATTCTAGGTCTAGAATCTGTCTTGGCAGAGGATGGCGACAGTTCTATTAGTTCATAGTCAACACAACCATGTGTGCTATTTGATTTGTAATGTCGTGGTACAACGTGTGTATCGATCTCCGGTGTAACTATCCAGTCAAAAATTACAAAGATGACGAATAAAAATGGTACTACTACCGTTTCCTATACTGTATCATCTTTTTACCACCATCTTCATGGCTTTTAAATATAATGCGAATCAGAGACTCGATACTCCTTTTCTATTTCACCCTTATTTTTTTCACCAAGTATCCTTCTTCACCGGAATTTGGGTCAAGTTTACGAAAATCCTAAGATTCTCAGAAACGAAATTCGCCGGAATTCTAACCATGAAACCAAACACTATGGAAATTTATAGTTTTTCTCTCCTTGCCGGAAATCATAAATCTGTTCCTACTCGCTTGAATAAGTATCAATTGAAGATGAATGAGAGATTTTATATTTCACTTTGCTCTCATTTTTCTATGGTTCTTCTTCCAAAAAAAATTCAAACACAATGAGACAAAAATTTAGAACCGTAACGGAACGAGAACAATTCAATTCAGAGGCTAATTGGTGAAAAGCCCATATGACTTTGCCAAAACATGGTTGATAAATTCATTTTCACCCCAAATGTGAAGGTTTCTTTTTTTCTTTTTGCTATAATACTTATTTGAAGTGTGCAACTGTCTCTATATGGAATTTATTTATCAAAACGGGGAAGAATGAGTCTCCATCCTTAGTTCTGATTTGATTATTTGGTATGAGCAAGAATCTTTTCTAATTCGTGTCATGTTTTTTGATGGCGAGTGAAGAACATAAATTGGTGGTGCTCTCTTAAAACGACAATACCACTAAAATTTCAAACTTTGCAGTTTACGAAGCAAGCCTATAGACTGTATTGTTATTGTCAAACAACTTTATAGTTCCACAACTTTCTAATCTTAGTTTACGAAACACGGGTTCTGTCTTAGTTTTCTACTTTTCTGTGCTACACAACTTTTTAATGGTGACAACAATGATTCATAAACTTATTGGATATAGTTTAAACATAAATAATTGGAAGAGAGATGATAGCAAAGATTATCCCACATCATATGCATAACAATGTCAAAGAGATTCTATTCAATTAGAATTCTCTGTGAACTTCTAATCCGCCACTTGCCAGATTGATAGTGAAGAACCCGTCGTCATCACCGACATAGACGTGGTTAGGCCTATAGTTGTCGGAGGGTACTTCAGCTGCAGGTTCACAAGAAATACCATCTCGTGAGAGGGAAATGAAGAGATCTCCAATGTCTTGAGTGTAAATGGCGTTTCCTTTATGGTCTAGCCTGAACACCATTACACCTTTTGTTTTCATGATCTTTCCAGAGGTCTTCTTGTACCACTTAACCAAGAAAGTTTCATCGGTTGATTGTGACTCCACCAAGAATACGCTCGCCCAGCAAGATTCCAGAAGCTCGGGTTGGGTCCTGGTCCGCTCGGGAAGGTTTTGGAGCTGCAACCTCTGAATCTTCGGTGGTGTTTGCTTGTGTGTGTGGATATCCCATGATCCGATAATGTGGCCTCCAGATCCAGGAATACGAAACATGCCATCTTTCTTGGAAAACATTACTTCGGAGGAGTAGAAGCAAGGGTTTTCGATTCTAACGTTGGTCCACCCAAATTTACTTTGAGCAGGTCTGAAAAAGCTGAGTTGAGGTCCCAAAAACTTGACAGCCACAACACAGTCCTCGTCGTCAAGAGGAGAAGATGCTACCACGTTGGTGACAATTTGAGTTTGGCAACGAGGTAAAGTTACAAAAGGAGGCGACGAAAAGTGTTTCGGTTCTCCTGAATCCCACATAGAATCAATGAAACGCAAAATTCCGTCGTCATTGTAAGTAGCTAACCAGCCAAGGTATGCTAGCCAATCTATTTTATGTCTACCCACAGGCACCTTCTTTTCCAAAAAAGTGTGGCGAGATTTAGGAACATTACTAACCTTCAGTCCACAACCGTGGATGGAACATGGAAGGGTTCGCAGTGAGGAAGATGGGAAGCCACTAGAGAGAAAAAGAGATGACCTCATCGACGCAGGTTTGCCTAGGCACAACATCGAAGGCTTGTTGAGAAGCAGAGACATAATGATTAATAATGATCTATCTTATCGAAAAGCAAGAGATTTAGGGGAAAAAAAACCTAATTGAATAATCGTTGTGATGATCACCTTTTAGACGCTTCATTATTAATACAGAGGAAATAGACTTGCTCACCAAGTTTCCCGTCCCCAAACCGATTTTTTTTTGTAACATCAGTACTATACCGATTTATTTGATGTAAAAATCAAAGGAATCTTTAACGTAAGCTTCCCATGGGTTAACCGATAAATTTCTAAACCAATATTGATCAGTTTACCAAATCAATCAATCCTATATTTGTTATTAAATTCTGCAGATTCTTAGCTTATGGAAATTTAAACTCTCCTAAATTCTAAATGTACGTGTAAATGACAGCAGAAACTAGGGGTGGGTACATCTAGGGTTTTTTTGGTTTCAAAGGCACGAGACCATAACTAGTTTAGTAATGGATCGTACGTGAAGATTCTCAATAACCAATCAGATGTCTTCATTCAACTACCGGCTCTTAAGTATGGGCTTTAAGATAATCCCACTCAACCTTTTACACCGATGTATCCTACTCTCTCGACCAGTTTTTTGGGCTGCTGAAAGTTTAAGTACCAGTTCAATCTGAGGCTGATCAATGCGAATACGCGGATGATTATTTTGTACGAGGTAATTAGGCCTGAGCTTATGCCACCACTAAAACCTTTTGTGTACCAAAGACCGTCAGGAATCATGAGTCAGATCGAGAGACAGGAGAAGAGGCTGTTGGCTATAAGGAGGGCCAGAAATACTGAGAGGAATGGAGAGACAAAATAAGAAGCTGGACCGGGTTCATGGTAATTGGTAAGCATGTTATTGATGGTTTAGGTTTCGTTTACTAGAAGTATGATCCCGTTTCAATTTCCTTTGTTTTTATATGATGGCTTTATTTTATATTCCAATAATCCATTAATCAATTCTACAAGAAAACAAAGCTCTTTTCGACGGATTTTCTGACAACAAAAAAACGGTCGGAAAATTTTGACGGTTTTCCGATAATATTCTGTCGGCTTTCCGACGACAGTCCTCCCGTCGAAATCCGTCGCAAATTTCCGACGGATTTTTTGTGGTCGAAAAGTCGTCAGTAATTTCCGACGACATTCCGATCAAATTAAATTCGGCGACGTATTTCCGAACAAAATATATTCGTTATGATCCGTCGGAAATCCGTCGGGAGGCGAGGTTATTTTTCGACGGATTTCCGATCACAATATTATAATCCGTCAGAAATCCGTCGTGATGCTAAGCTATTTTCCGGTGGAAATTATGATCAAAATATACCCGTAAATATAGATCAAAATAAGCGGATCTCCGTTTTATAGCTGTTCGAAAATTTTAAAATTCTTCGGTATCCATCGGAAATTCGTCGGAAATCCGTCGGCACGCCGTCGGGAACCCGTCAGGAACGTTGATAATTCTCACCTATATATATTCTTCTATCCTCATTCACAAAATCGCCCAAACAAGAAAAATAATCAGAGAGAAATGTCTTCTTCGAATCCGTTTAATTATTTTCGTTCATGGATGGACCAGCCCATGCGTGATCCCGTGACGGAGTTACTTACGCCAGAGTATGCACAAGGTCTTAAACAATTCATGGCATATGCAGCAAACCAACTGGTAACCATCGAATCAAAACATATGTATTGTCCATGTTGTAAATGTCGAAATTTCAGAGTTATTCATGTATCGCAAGTTTGGATGCACTTATATGGGGAAGGGTTTATGCCGGGGTACAAAGTTTGGTTTATGCATGGAGAGGATGAGTCAATGGTGAATTATGGTAGTTGTAGCGAACATTATTCTGCTGATAGGTTAGAAGAACCAACTGCGGAAGTAGATGCAAATGTAGGTACCGTTCAAATGGTGAATGATGCTTTTCGTGAAAATGTACACTCGTTTGATGGGGATAGTGATAGAGTCGAGGAACCTAATTAAGAAGCACGAAAGTTTTTTTATATGTTAGATGCAGCTAAGAATCCGTTATATAGAGGATGTAAAAAGGGTCATTCACCTTTATCTGCTGCAACCAAGTTGATGGGTATCAAGACGGATTATAATTTGTCCGAGGATTGTATGGATGCGATTACTGATTTTGTCAAAGATTTACTACCGGAAGATAATGTTGCACCGGGTACGTACTACGAGGTACAAAAATTGGTAGCTGGTCTTGGTTTACCGTATCAGGTGATAGATGTGTGCATTGACAATTGTATGTTGTTCTGGAGAGGAGATTCAGACATCTTGACATGTAAGTTTTGTCGCAAACCTCGGTATCGGGAAACAGGTGGAAGAGTCCCAATTCCATATAAACGGATGTGGTATTTACCATTATCAGAGAGGTTGAAGAGGTTATATCAATCTAAGCGCACAGCAAAGCCAATGAGATGGCATGCAGAGCACACAACAGATGGAGAAATTACGCATCCCTCAGATGCAGAAGTATGGAAACATTTTCAAACAATGCATCCTAGTTTTGCTAATGAGCGAAGGAACGTATACCTTGGATTATGTACAGATGGATTCAATCCATTTGGGAAGCATGGGAGGCAATACTCATTGTGGCCTGTTATCGTAACACCTTACAACTTGCCGCCATCATTATGCATTAAACGAGAGTTTCTGTTTTTTACTATCCTCGTTCCTGGCCCAGATCTTCCTAGAAGATCACTTGATGTGTTGCATCTTTTTATCGTAACTCTTCGTAAAACGGTTGCAACGTTTTGTTGAATCATTGCAATATTTAGTGTATTTCACAAACAATTGCAACCTTAAGTTTATTTTATATCGTTATAACATTATTCATCTACAGTCAGTGTAACTTTTCATAAATTATTATTTTTAATTCTTAATTTTAAATTACTATTATGTAACCATTTAATTGAATTTTCGCAACAAAATAAAAAATTAAATTGTCGCAACATTTGGTTTATTTGACGAATCATTGCTAACTTTTGGTTTTGTTTTAGGAACCATTGTAATCTCTAGTATATTTGATGAACCATTGCAACTTTGGATAAATTTGATATATACGGTCGCGTCTCTCGATTAAAGTTTGTCATTTAAAAAAATAAATATTTAATTACTAAAATATATTTAAATGAATTGTTGTTACCGTTTAATTTAGCATAGTAGCATTTGGTTTATTAGTCGAACTAATGAACATTTTTGCTTATTTGTCAAACTGTTGTAACATTTGGTTTATTTGATGTCTTTTACACTTGAGAATAGTTTTTTAGTTACAAATTAATGTTTTTCTAATACTAATATACTTAATAAATGCTTTTGAAGGTTTTCCTTATCATAATTTTTGTAAAATATATTTTGTTTTATTATTATTATTATTTTTAAATTGTTACAATTCATAATGACTTTTCGTTTGATATTTTTTTAAATGATTTTTGAAGTATTTTCTCCCGCGACATCGCGGGGTTCGTAATTCCTAGTTTATAAAATGATTAATAAATATTTGGAAAATGTGAGCAAGATAAATTCGTTTATTGTATTAAAAATTTTATATTTTTAAAATAAAATTAATATAATGAAGTATAAACTGTTAGAGATAATGATCATAAAACAACATTTTCAAGAGATGTATATGGATTCAAGATCATTATCTTTAGTGGTTTCTATTTCATTATATTAATCTACTTTGGTATATGGATATTACTTATCATTGGCGTTCCATAGCAATATGTTTGTTGCAACTTGCAAAAACATTGATCTAGTTTAATGAGATTAAGAGAGCATGCTCAAAATAATTTCAACTTGGTTGGGTACTTTTACATCGTTCAGTCTAAGTCATAAACAAAGAGAAAGAAAATAGGAAAAAATGTCGAAAAATGCGCGAACTTTTAAATTTGGGACGAAAAAAGCGTGAACTTTCAAAATGCCATAAAAATTGTTAAGTTTAGTTTGATTTTTTATAAAATGATCAAGTTTCGTTGACTTGGCCATTTCGAGCATGCCGTTAATTTTTCTGTTAAACAGACGTTCATGGAGTCAACAATCCGTTAGAAATCACCGTTTGGTCAAAACGACGTCGTTTCATCAAAAAACTATGTAGAATCAAGATAAAGGCACTTATCTATTCTTCAATGGGAGTAAAAATCTTGTCTCTGTTTCTTGCTGGAGTTGAACCTGAAACAAGAAGAAAGAAAGTAGTTTATGGAGCATAAGGAAGATTTGATGCGGAAGATTGCAAAGGAGATTTTGGTTTATGGAAACACAAGGATGTTGAAAAATTCTAGGTCTAGAATCTGTCTTGGCAGAGGATGGCGATAGTTCAGTTAGTTCGCTTTCAATACAACCATCAACCATGTGTGCTATTTGATTTGTAATGTTGTGGTACAACGTGTGTATCGATCTCCGGTGTACCTATCCAGTCAAAAATTATAAAGATGTCGAATAAAAATGGTACTACTATCGTTTCCTATACTGTATCATCTTTTTACCACAATATAATGCGAATCGGACACTCGATACTCCTTTCCTATTTCACCCTTAATTTTTTCACCAAGTATCCTTCTTCACCGGGATTTAGGTCAAGTTTACGAAAATCCGAAGATTCTCATAAACAAATTCGTCTTCTCGCCGGAATTCTCAACCATGAAACCAAACACTATGGAAATTGATATTCTTTCTCTCCTTGCCGAAAATCATAAATCTGTTGCTACTCGCTTGAATAAGTATCAATTGAAGACGAATGAGAGATTTTTTATTTCTCTTTGCTCTCATTTTTCTATGGTTCTTCTTCCAATTTTTTTTTTCAAACATAATGAGACAAAAATTTAGAACCGTAACCGAACGAGAACAATTCAATTCAGAGGCTAATTGGTGAAAAGCCCATATGACTTTGCCAAAACATGGTTGATAAACTCATTTTCACCCCAAATGTGAAAATTTCTTTTTTATTTTTGCTATAATACTTATTTGAAGTGTGCAACTGTCTCTATATGGAATTTACTTATCAAAACGGGGAAGAATGAGTCTCCATCCTTAGTTCTGATTTGATTAAATAGTTATGAGCAAGAATCTTTTCTAATTCGTGTCATGTTTTTTGATGGTGCTCTCTTAAAACGACAACACCACTAAAATTTCCAACTTTGCAGTTTACGAAGCAAGCCTATAGACTGTATTATTATTGTCAAACAACTTTATAGTTCCACAACTTTCTAATCTTAGTTTACGAAACACGGTTCTCTTCTCTCTTAGTTTTCTACTTTTCTGTGCTACTCAACTTTTTAATGGTGACAACAATGATTCATAAACTTATTGGATATAGTTTAAACATAAATAATTGGAAGAGAGATGATAGCAAAGATTATCCCACATCATATGCATAACAATGTCAAAGAGATTCTATTCAATTAGAATTCTCTGTGAACTTCTAATCCGCCACTTGCCAGATTGATAGTGAAGAACCCGTCGTCATCACCGACATAGACGTGGTTAGGCCTATAGTTGTCGGAGGGTACTTCAGCTGCAGGTTCACAAGAAATACCATCTCGTGAGAGGGAAATGAAGAGATCTCCAATGTCTTGAGTGTAAATAGCGTTTCCTTTATGGTCTACCCTGAACACCATTACACCTTTTGTTTTCATGATCTTTCCAGAGGTCTTCTTGTACCACTTAACCAAGAAAGTTTCATCGGTTGATTGTGACTCCACCAAGAATACGCTCGCCCAGCAAGATTCCAGAAGCTCGGGTTGGGTCCTGGTCCGCTCGGGAAGGTTTTGGAGCTGCAACCTCTGAATCTTCGGTGGTGTTTGCTTGTGTGTGTGGATATCCCATGATCCGATAATGTGGCCTCCAGATCCAGGAATACGAAACATGCCATCTTTCTTGGAAAACATTACTTCGGAGGAGTAGAAGCAAGGGTTTTCGATTCTAACGTTGGTCCACCCAAATTTACTTTGAGCAGGTCTGAAAAAGCTGAGTTGAGGTCCCAAAAACTTGACAGCCACAACACAGTCCTCGTCGTCAAGAGGAGAAGATGCTACCACGTTGGTGACAATTTGAGTTTGGCAACTAGGTAAAGTTACAAAAGGAGGCGACGAAAAGTGTTTCGGTTCTCCTGAATCCCACATAGAATCAATGAAACGCAAAATTCCGTCGTCATTGTAAGTAGCTAACCAGCCAAGGTATGCTAGCCAATCTATTTTATGTCTACCCACAGGCACCTTCTTTTCCAAAAAAGTGTGGCGAGATTTAGGAACATTACTAACCTTCAGTCCACAACCGTGGATGGAACATGGAAGGGTTCGCAGTGAGGAAGATGGGAAGCCACTAGAGAGAAAAAGAGATGACCTCATCGACGCAGGTTTGCCTAGGCACAACATCGAAGGCTTGTTGAGAAGCAGAGACATAATGATTAATAATGATCTATCTTATCGAAAAGCAAGAGATTTTGGGTTAAAAAAAAACCCTAATTGAAGAACCGTTGTGATGATCACCTTTTAGACGCTACATTATTAATAATACAGAGGAAATAGACTTGCTCCCCAAGTTTCCAGTCTCCAAATTAGGTTAGGTTAGGTCAGACATATTATTCTCTCTCTCTCTCGGAGACGTATCGTCCCCAAACCGATTTTTTTTTGTAACATCAGAACTATACCGATTTATTTGATGTAAAAATCAAAGGAATCTTTAACGTAAGCTTCCCATGGGTTAACCGATAAATTTCTAAACCAATATTGATCAGTTTACCAAATCAATCAATCCTATATTTGTTATTAAATTCTGCAGATTCTTAGCTTCTGTTTTAGGAAATTTAAACTCTTCTAAATTCTAAATGTAAATGAAAGCAGAAACTAGGGGTGGGTACATCTAGGGGTTTTTGGGTTTCAAAGGCACGAGACCATAACTAGTTTAGGGTGTGTTTAGTAAAGGATTGTACGTAAAGATAAGCACAATCAAGAAGTTTCTTCAAGTACGTGAAGATTCTCAATAACCAATCAGATGTCTTCATTCAACTACCGGCTCTTAAGTATGGGCTTTAAGATAATTCCACTCAACCTTTTACACCGATGTATCCTACTCTCTCGACCAGTTTTTTGGGCTGCTGAAAGTTTTGAAGATGCAGTTATTTTGGTGTTCTGTACT